AACAAAGTGATCACTTCATATTATTACACTTGCTCGAGGCCTAAAACATTCCAAAAACGACTACAGAAAAGCTCCGATCACCTTCCGCTGGTGCCGCCAGGTGGCTCTTCCAGATGCCAGACCCTGCCATCTGGCGCAAAGCGTAGCTTAGCGACCTGCAGGAATTGGACCCTCCGCCACTGACGATCCTCTGACTGGCGCACCTCGAAGGAAGCCTCCCATTTTGCCACAGCCGTCTGCGCTTCATCGTCGAAGACCAGGTCCTCCACAACGTTCCTGAAATCGATGTTCCTCTCGCGCATCTGTATATGAGTTATCCAGTAGTTCTTGATGCCCTCGTGGCCCCGGTAGATCCCATTCTCTGGGTCATAGGGCCGCTCAACGTACAGCCCAGTGTCTGTGAAGAGCTCAAGAATCTTCTCTACGTCTTGCAAGCGCCAAGCCTCGCCGTAGCGATCCACCCATTCGATCGCGTGCTGCCTAGACACACCTTTCGAGCGTGCAGGACTGCTTTCGGGACTCATCTTGCAGCGCACAGCTCTGAGCCCACATGCTGGGGCGAGAGCAAAGGCACACGCTCAGCAAAAACTCAACGGTTGCATCAGCATGGGTTGGCTCGACATGCTGCCGCGTGCTTTATTAACTCCGCCGTGCCTCCGGAATCGTGGGCTGGCCCTCCGGTGTTGGTGACAGCCAAGGGCCTTCCTGGCTTGAACAGAGCTATGCTGAAACGTTGACACCGGATCTCATCAGATGTCCTCGGGCAAGCTTCTTCCTCGCCACTCGTGGGCAGGCTGCGGCCCCTCCTGACCTCAGCAAGCCACGGAAAGCAGCGAAGAACCCGCAAAAGGACTCGAGGTCCGCGCTTTCGAGCCAGGTGTCGATCTTAGCTTGCGCTCGTCTACATCACTGGCTGCAAGGATCTCAGAGCTTCTGGCCAGGGTGGCATTTACAAGGCGGTCCACGGCATCCTGGTGTCAGGATGTGTCAGCTTTCCCAGACTGACTCGGGCCCTATCCCCTCAAGCCAAGCTGGACGGTCCAGCCAGCGCGGCGCGGTCTGATAGCGCCGCACGGCACTGCGAGCCTGAGCGCCAAGCTCCCCACTTTGCCCCTCTGACGAGGAGTTTGGGCATCCTCTCGGGTCAATGCCGGCATCGCTGCGAAGAGTCCCAGGAGCCGCCGCGAAGCAAAGCTCGACACGAGCGGCCTGGAAAGCTGTCTACGCATCACAGCTCCGACACCACATATTACGTGAATTTACATGAGTGTTGACGTCAGCCACGGCACAACATTCGAGGCAGGAAGAGGGGTGCTCGCACCACGTCCTGGCAGAGAAACGACAGCTAGCACCATGACAAAGCACGCCACCACTGAATCATGTCAATGACAATGCCATCATCGTCAGTGATACGGCTCTCCTCGTCGCTTGCGTTCGAGGGGCTTGGAGCTGCACCTGTCTCGCGGCTCAGGACTGGACTTAGACTTGTTGCCTTGCCACATGTTCAAGTTGCTCCATCTTCGTGCTAAGAGGTGCCGCTGCCATTTTGACCCACCGCGAAGATTCTTCTGGCGCACTGCACCCCTGAATGCGGAGAGGATGCCTCGGCGACGCTCCAAAGACTCGGCAGAACCCAAACACATCAAACACTCAGACAACTCGTATATCTTCATCTTGGACACCTACGCTGCAGGAGACTCCGCGGAGCTTGCTGCAGCTGTCGCCACCTGCAGCAAAGGCGAGATCTCATCCCTTCCAGTCACCGGCAAACCGACAACGCATGTCGGACAACATCGCGAGCCCTGGTCCTAAACACAACACAGACCAGTCCTTCAACCGACTTCAACCTAACACTTTCCTATGACATATTGTCCGGAGCTCTATTGGTCATTTGAGTCTCGTGGTGGCCTCCAGCTTCTCCGGGCTGCATGCTGCCGGTAATCGGGCCAGGGGATCTCCTCAAAAACATCTCAGCTTCTTCGGCCGATGCGACGGACGGAGGGTGGGTGTCCTCCCGAAAAACATCCTCCGTCTCAGGCCAGGGGAAGCCCAGCTCCTTCAGCTGATCCTGGCCCTGCCCATCTCGATGTCTCGGTCTTCGAAAGCTGCAACGAGACTCTTCACACAAGACTGCCCCTCAACATTGTCAAAACAAGGAAGAGAGATGGAACGGCACCAGGCTGAGGTGCTGCAGAGCGACGGCTTTGAATCCGGTGCTGAGACGGGTGGGTTTACAAACACACTATCGCTAGTGGCAAGCTAGTGGAGCTTGCGGCTTGTTGCTTCTCATTGGTGATACACTCTCAATGACATCGCCTGATGTCAAAGGTGACGGTCTACATGATGTCTCTTCTTGCCCCGCTGCCACTCAACCTTTTGATGAGAGGTTTGGGCTCCAACACAACATCTCTTTACTTTTCTACTCCCATGCTGGGATTCTCTGAGGAAAGGGGTGCTCGGACACAGTAAGACTTCAATCGCTTGTCCCGGGCAGTGGGCTGTCCTGATCCGTCCTTTGTTTGCATGCCACCACCGCGTCTCGTGCGTTTGGAGGCCGATGAGCTTTGCCGATTGTCGTTGCCCTCTTAGCTTTCTGACCGCTCTCGGGATCCGGTGCTGAACCGTCTCTCGCGACACGGCACTGCCTCGAAACCAAGCTGGTCCCACAAGTGGTTTGTGAAGAAGACCAGGCTGTACCTCTCGAGGCCCTGCCACTCCTAGCAGCCGTAACGGTCGTGATCGAAGTGAGAAAAGCACACACCGCGCTCCTCCGTGCGATGGAACTCGCGGCCATCGAAGGCGATCCAGGTGTTCTGGACGTCCACGAGGCCTCTTTCCGAGCCGAGGAGAAAAGAGAGGGAGGGGGGGCTTTCTCTGAGAGTTATATTATATTATTTTTTTGTATTATATTATATTATATTATATTATATTATATTACAATATATTATGAAGAGCAGGGGGGCTTCCTCAGTTTTTCACTGCAGCAGAGCAGCTCCAGGTGTTGTTCTTGGAGGCATGAAGCCAGAGCCGGCCGCGGGAGAAGTTGCCAAGAGCAACCATGCGGCTCGGCCCGGCATCGAAACCATCGGTGTGCATCTTGTACTTCGTATTCACGTTCACCTCGTTTCACATCCCAGGTTTCCAAGGCCCTACAGCTCCTCTCAACACATCGAACACATCACAAGCCTGGGGCCACGGGCTTGAATCGAGGTAAACTTGAAGTCCGGGCAGGCGGCCCGACAGCCTTCGCAGAGCACCTGAGGTCATTCGGAGCGCGCGCCCAAGCACGTGGCCTTCACTGATGATCCGTCAGAGCACCTTGACAAGCTTGGGATGCGCTCGCGTGGCTTTGGAGACCACGGGAGTACCACCACCGCCGAACTTGTAGTCAGTGGTGAGGCCCAGGGTGCAACCCTTGGGGCAGAGCCCCGCGTGAGAAGATGCACGCGTCCTTTCGGCTACCCTGCGCTTGTTGCGCGGCAGCACGTGCTGAAAGCTGCGCAGGGTACGCAGCATCTCCTGATGGTGCGTTTCCAAACCTGGCACCAAGACTTTACATCAGCTTCGCCTGAGCCTCTCGCGCTCAATCTGGCCTTGGAGGGCCCTGCAGGCGCAGTTCCGGTGCTGTGGGGCCTACCACAGCAAGGCTCCTTTGAAGCACGTGGAACGACAATGGTGCAACACCTCATCATCTCGCCTGCTGCCACCACGGAGTCAGGTAAGCGCCAGCTATCCTGCGTACTGCTGTTCGATCTCGACCGTCAAGGTAAGCATAATTCCCTTCAAAAACGAGGCACACAAAACGCTTATTTTGTCGGACCTTTGTTTCGCTGGCAGCACCATGGAGGTTGGGTGCAATGGCCCCAAGATAATAGAAATAGAACGGTGTTTCGTCGATCACTATCTTTCATGATGGGATCACACTACCGGGTTTGTTGTCTCTCTTGAGTGCTCGAGGGAATCAACACTGGAGTGGCATGTCCGGGTTTGTTCACTCTCTTGCCGGCATCGGCGGTGCTCGAGGAAATCAACACTGCGGTCGCGTGTCATCGCAGTGAGCAACAAAAAGTCTCCTCCGATCCCCTCCGTTCCTCTGCTCTCTCCCCGTCACTTCGATGCTCTCGACCGCAACACTTCTCCGCTTTCCATGCCTCCGCTTTCCGTCCCTGCACCGTAGCCTGGCAAGGCCGGGCTGTCGAAAAAATCTAGTGAAGGTCCAACGCGCGACGTAACCGTATGGCATTTCGGCTTACAAATCTGGGGGGCAGGGATGCTCTCGGAGGCTCTCGTGGTGGTCGCACCTGCATTCTCCGTGGTGTTGGGGGTCCCTGGCGTTGCGGGAGTTGGAGTCGGGGTCGCCTCAGTCGATGAGTTGACCACACGCTCCCAGCTAGCAGCAGCGGGATCTCCAACTGCCTTGGAAATCTCGGGAACGGGCTGGTGCAGAAAAGTTCAGCGGCCAAACCTCAGGGGAAAGGATCCAACAGGAGACAAGGATAACAGGATACCCATCAGATCTCAGCGGCTGCTGAGGCATTTGCGGAAACAGTGTCAAAGACGGTCTTGAGCTCGACCTCCCCAACTCGACTCCAAGAGAGAGCTCTCAGCCTCTCGCGTAATCCTGAGACCCTCGCCACGAGGCTGGGCATGGTATCCAAATCGAAGTTGAAGGGCTTCTGGCCAAAGTTGAAAGACAGCCTGCGGCGCAGCGGCGCAGAAAGGGGTGCCGGATGCTATCAGACCCAGCTCCGCTGTCACCAGGGCTCGGGCAGCTGCTTGGTGTCGAGGCCTACCTAGGTGTGCTAAGCGCTCTAAGAGGACTCTAGCACTCCAAAGTTGAGACGCGCTACACCACTGAGCTTGCTAAACTGCAGTACAGGCACGCAAGGCCAGAGCGGAACATCCCAAGGAACTTGATCGAGGTCAAAGGCGAATCCTGCAGAATCTAAATGCGGGCTGTCAATAGCAATTTATGTCGTCACAGTGAGGCAACAGAGAAGCCGTGCAAACGCACATCGTCTCCGGCCAAAGCAAAAAAATGTACCGTACCAGCAGTGCGCCTAAGAAGGCACCGTTCAGAGTGTAGAAGATCTTGCGCTTTGCATGCGCCAGAGGCCGCGGCCCTCACCAGTTGGGATTCCCACCCAGGCTTGGTATCGCATCATGTGGGGCTTTTGGCTTCTTTCTCTGCGTTATCTGGGCTTTTTCAAACGAACAAGCCTGCTGTGACCTGCGATGCCTCGCAGTCGCCGAAGCTGGAGGCGGGCAGCTGACAGATCCCGCAGCCAACCACGTCTCCCGCCCCGAAGGTCAATGGCCCTGCCACCTTCGCGTCTGCGAACTGGTACCCTCGATTGGAGGCGTGGAACAGCTGGCCGTCGTCGCTGTGGAGGCCCCAGGATTCTCCATCCCAGCCTGCCTGCTGCTTGGCAACAGCATAGCGCGAGAAGCGCGGCGTGCAGAGCCCCACGGAGATGCAGTGCAGCACGGCTTCCTCCCGATCCCTCCCTCGGCGACAGGCACCAACTCCGGCACCGCCCACCGTAACCTCACAGGATGGGACACCACATGGCCACTTGGCCTAGTGCAAAGCAGCGTCAGCTGTGTGTTTTGGCATGGTTTTGGCAAATTTATCTTAAGCCTCGTAGTACGAAGCACTGCGGTAGGCGACCCTCCAGTGGCACCCATGTCTTTCTTCGGAGGCGTATGGCAGGACGGTGGCTGAAGGGACCGCAGGCAGCGGCAGCTGAGCCACGACGCAGCGATCTCGTCCCATGAACCCCGGGCGCAGGTGGCACCGCAATACCCTGAGACGCAAGCCAGCATTGGGAGGAGTCAGATGGATCGATGCGCAGAAGCTGTGTCAGAATCTTTAAGGCCAGGCGCTTCCCATCAGCATCTTGGAGGAACTGCACTCCCTCCGGTGCCGATGCCGACTCGCCATAAAGACTGGGCCTGTGCTCATAATCTACTGCATCTACCATACCTTAACATTCTCCGGCATGCTAGTAACTGCTAGTACAATGTTAGGCCGACTTCAGACGGATGTTTGTCTGCTGCTTGTTGTTTTGCTACAGATGATGATGACCATGTCTTTCATCTCTGCTCATCTTTGCACACACTGTTGGTCATGATTGCTACGGTACTGGTGACCCTTATGCTAGTTGAGAAGGTTGCGCATGACTGATACTACCTTTTGTTGATTGGCGTCTTTGGAAAGAGCATTGTTCCTACTGACGATGTTCCTGTATAATTCCTGCTCCGGTTCCTGTTCCTTATCCTAAACCTGCTACATACTGTTGCTGTGGCCGCTACACATGGTCATGATGATTACTTGGTTTTGTTCTTGAAGTGCAGAAGTGCATGACTGGGTCAGGGCACAGGAACTGATAGTCCTCGCTCGAGCTCCGAAGAGCATTCTTACCCGGGGCAATGTCCAAGTCGTAGAAGGCACCTGAGGACTGCTACTTCCGGACCGGAGTTAAATTCTGTTCTGGGAAACAGAGCTTGCAAGACTGTGTCAATGTAACCACGCCGTCAGACACTCCCTGAAGCTTGTCCAAACCGTCTCCAAACAGTGAAACTATGGCACGCTTCCAGCACCACCGCGAACTTGAGGAACTCTGGGCACCTGCGCTACGAAGCTGCGGCAAAGAGGTGCCAGTCGCGAACTTGCTGCGACAGGTAGTGCCTTGCAAGCGAGGTCCCGAGCCCACGGGGCACAGCAATTCAGAGGGAATGCCAAGCTCCTCCAAGACATCCCAGAAGAATCAGCTAGCCACACTGCTTTGCGCAACTCCGCAACAGATTGCAGCGTGGAAAGCACGACCTGCCACAAGGCTTGAAGTCCTGCGCGCAAAGCTCCTTCCAAGCATTCTGCACCAGTTCCTTCATCGGGGCTCTGCCGGAAACTGCCCTGTTCCTAAGCACCTCCCTTGCCCGGCCTTGCCCCTGCTTCAAGGACTCTTGCGATGGACGGATAAAAATTCCATGCATGACTCGGCCGGCCTCCTCCGCCCAGCCAGCCGTCTGGATGCCTGGTTGGCCCAACATCATGAAAAAGAAACGAATCTTCAACACATACTGCCAGCAACATTTAATGCCCGGAGCAATGCCAAGAGCTATTGCGGTGAGCTGAGCTGGGTCACCCACGGAGCAGAGATGGAGGATCCAGAAAAAAGACCCACTGCAACGGCAGCGCGTCCAAGCGCGTCACGCCTGAGGCCTGGCGGCTGCCCATGCCATGGATGCTTTCTGGCGCTTAGTCACGGCAGATCCCCCCCCCAGTCCAGCACCTCACGGGGAGCGCTAATCGTGCGAAGCGGCGTCGCACCCATGGGTACAACTTGGTCCACTGCAAAGCTGGTACTTTCCGTGGCATTCTGTGGCGTGGTGTGTCTTAGTCTCGGCTGGACTCATATATGACTCGGACTCTATGTCCCCGTCTTGACATATGAGAAATGATGAGCTATGTGTGCTGTCTCAATGCACTAACAATTCCACAGAGCTTCGCCCCTTCGACCTAGGATGCAGTCCTGCTTTGGGGAAGCAAGTGACTTTTTTTCCGGCCAGGGCAGAAAGGAGTCAAGCTGCACCTCCTGCTGTGTCCGATCAAACTCACGACCGGCAGAGCACCTCGCTGTGCTCCATCGGGGCAGCTCTCAAGCTGCCCGCATGAGCTTAAGTCGTCGACGCGCCAAGTTGCACCCTGCTGGAAAATTAAGGACCGCTCGCGCGCCAGCTGCGCTGCTGCAGTCCATCACAGGCTGCTTTGAAGGATCTGATGCGCCACAAAGTTGTGAAGACGATTAGCCTTCCAACCCTGCGAAGCCGCCAAGTTTTGTCTCAAGGGTGGATGGTTGGCACTGGTGCTGTGATAGGATGCTCGGGGGCTTCGAGCTACTTCAGGAGGTTGACGATGCCTGCAGGAATACGAACTCTCAGTCCATCATCACGCTCTTTGTCCAGGATTACCTGACACCGCACACTTCGCGTTTGCGGAATGTACATCACAAAACACATGTACATGAGCAGGAATACACCTGTGTGAGAGACAGAGACGAAGGATGACGAAGGTGGAGAGACCCTGAGCCCTGGGGCCTGGCAGCCTAAGCGAGAGGTGTCGGTCACGTCCTGCGCCAAGTCGAGCATGTCGGCCTAGCGGGAACTCTGAGTCTGAACCCCTTGCTTTCCATGGCCATGACCACCCTTTTTGGGATCCCTGGGCAAGCCTGCACACTGACATATTTCCTGAATCGCTCAGCTGAAGTGACAGGGAGCTGCGACAAGTCTCCAGTCTCTACAAGGGCAACTGTGCGGAGCTGTTGTCCGGTGAATCTGTACAAGGACACGGTCCGGTGTCCTCGTGCACCTTTCGGCACGGCGGACACACCAATGGAAAGTGTCCCGGACAACAAACAGACGTTCGCCCTCAAGTCGCAGCTTTTTAGCACCGTGGGCATTGTAGCCGTCAGCTGTGCAAGAATCGGATTCTGAGAATGTGAACATTCTCATGGATGGTTCAAACTATCGAGCCTAGCACATGTTTTGCACATGCTCTGGCTCCTAAGCTCCGCCGACTGACGCGGGACGAAGAAGGTTTAAGCATGCCTCGACATATGGGAGCAGACTCGAGCTTGCACCAATGCGGCAGCCCAAAGCGCACGGCCTTGGCAGCGGCCGGGGCGCCGCCCGCCTTCCGCAGGGCCTGGGTTACAGAAAAGTGGAAGGATCTCCGAGTAACTCTTGCTCCTGCAGTTTCTCCTGGCCTCGCCGAGTAAGCGGCAGCACCGGCGCTGCTCCTCCGCCTCGCTCCCCAACGCTGCCATCACCGCGTCTCCGATCGCTCCTAGCCGCACTCCCAGGCAAAGAGCAAAACCGAGCAGCTCTGGCAGACTGCGAGCAGCCCGGCCCGGCACCTCGCGGTGTGGCCAAAGGATCCGGGAAACATTTGCCAGCTCCGGCCCTCTCGATGGCAAATCCGTTCGAGGGCTGGTCCACACAAAAAGGCACCACGACCATGGGAACTCCCAGCACGGCGGCCTGCATGTGACTCAGGCGACCTTCTCTTCACGGCAGGATTTTCGCTGGCGCCTCTTTGATACTGTTGCAGCCCCCATGCGTGACGAAAACGTCTGCATGCCTCAAAGCTTGAACCTGAGCAGCTATGGACAGCCGTCATCTCTGAGGCTAGAAATCGACTAGAATCGACCAGGAGTGAAAGAGCAGCAAGGAGCTTGGTCGATGTACTCTTCGGCAACGAAGTTCGAGGGCAACTCCCCAAGCATGCTCCGAGCATCTGCACGTGGCCCGATGCTCATCACCACGCGGAAATCCGGCCCTTAATGCAGGCATCCAATCAATGCACATGCTGCTTGACTGTCAGGTCGGTTTGCACAAGCCGAATGTAGGATGCTCTTTTGCCGATGTCTGCGAACATCCTTCAATTCGCTCTCACCGGCTCAGTGCTTTCGGAAGTTGGCTGGTTCCAGCTGTCCTGCCTTCCTACTAGAGTTCAAGAGGGTACTCCAAAAGGCAGGCTGGCGCAAGCCGTCGAGGCTGGAGCAGGTGGCACTTGTGTTGCCGCTTGATGCTATATGTACCTACAAACATGCGCAAAAAAAAAACGTACAAACGCACACACACACACACACGTAGTTGTCCGGTCAAGCCGGTTGTCATCTCCATTTCCGGTAGCTCTGAATATGTCGTGTTTTTGTCGGCGTATTGTTGTCGTCACACACATAAAAAATGACAAGTAAAAAAACACGCATGCATGCATATGCATATGCATACATATACATATACATATACATATACATATACATATACATATACATATACATATACATATACATATACATATACATATACATATACATATACATAAACATATACATAAACATAAACATAAACATAAACATATATGTACCCAACTATTCCATACGCAAGCTCAAGGCCCAAGCCGTGGCCCAAGCGCTCCACAGAGCGGGGGATGACCAAATGGGGGATACCATTGGGGTGGAGGGGGGGCTCGCCGGGGCGCAACCATCCCTATACACATATACATATACATATGCATATACATATACATCTACATATATACACACACACATGTGCAGGTACTCATACAAATACAGATACATACATAGATATAGATATAGATATATAGATATATAGATATATAGATATATAGATATATAGATATATAGATATATAGATATATAGATATATAGATATATAGATATATAGATATATAGATATATAGATATATAGATATATAGATATAT